TATAGGTGGTTAGACTACCTTAGCTGAATTGACGTTCCTATTCAGCAACAAGCTAAGCATTGGGGTACTAAGGAAGTGTTCTCCCAAATCGAACACGCTTAACGCATCGCTGCACAATGTTGCTCGATAGGAAATGTCGTCAATGATCACAACTGAGTCGAAATCGCGATTGAATGATTTTACGCGAAGAATAATCTAAAAACCTTGTAGTAAGATTGTATGACAGAAGAACACAAGGGACACTAACCACAAAATTCTTGGCAGCATTGGTGAAGGACACGGAGACTGGTGCTGGGCTCATCTCTGATGGTAACCCATGGCATTCGATTGCTTCGCCCATTAAAGACACAGCGCATGCTTCAAGTTCTACTTCTTTAGTCTTCCAAAACCTGAAATTACCAATTGAATGATGGGAGTAATGAGTGAGGCAACATCCTCCTAACCTTAGAGAAAGCGTGTTTTCAGTTTGGCTCTGACAGTTGATTGGATCCGAACGCAGGAAATCGAGAGGACCCTAAAGCCAAAATTTATAATTGGTAATATAGAGCTTGACGTCCTTTAACATCTTACTGAACAAATTCACTAATGAATGGACCAGCCCACATGTGTGCACACTTATAGGTCAATGATAATTAACAAAGATCGTGTCCTATTGCCTCCAATCTATCATTTTGCCAATGATTTAATAGAGTTCTATAAGTGCTGCATCCAATTTTCTGGTAGACAAATCACCTTGATTGCTTGAGCCTAGTTGAAAGACCCACAGATACAATTTTTTACTCACAAAACTATATTGAACTGAGAAATATGCAAGCGCAGTTGGAATTTATTGGATTGTCGAGTAAGAAAGTTTTCTCTCAAACTCGAGAAAGGCCAAAATTAAGAAGTTAAATTGACGATGGCTTATATATATGAAAAATAGTCCCAGTATGAAAGGAGAACTGCTTATCTTCTAGGGAAATTACTTTATTTGATTTGAAGTCGCTGAAAGATGGCCATCATCTGATCTTCCAAGATTTAGCCTGTTGTGGTCATTTGGCTTGCTAATCACAAATTCATTTGCGCAGGATAAGGCTTATTGAAGAACCGTAGAAGTCACGTCAAACTTCGGCGGCAGGTCTCCAGAGGGCAAGCTGGACTTTGTTTATGTGAAAAAAGGGAGAATTACAGGTTTTGAGGTACTGCCTGGAGTTCAATCTCAATTATGACCGCTTTCTCAACAAAAAATTGTTGATGCTCCCTTCCCCTTCTTAGCGCGGATGTTCATGCGTGCGGCTTAAGTATTTCTGTTTTATGCAATACACATTTCATAGTAATTCCATACATACTTGACTGTTCTAAAATCTGCTCTAACAAACGTTCAATATTTGTTTCAATGCGGGTCTTTGCGCGGAAAATTTAAGTGAGTCTCAAATTCAGATATTCCGTTTTGCTAAGCGAGTAAGCGATGAACACCCACCATCGGGGT